TCAGCCGAACGTGCACCAGGGCGTCTGGCTGGTGTCGCAGTCCAGCAGGATGTTGAGGACGGTGCAGGGAGCTCCGCCCACGCTCAGCGCCGTCCGCGACTCGATCCGGTACCGCACGTTGTTCAGGCCGCCGTCCCGATCCACCTTGAACTGCTCCTGCAGCGAGGAAGGGGCGCGAGCTGCAGGCTGGGCCGGGCGGGGCCGGGCCTGGCAGGGGGTACTCGGGCGCTGCGTCCCCTCCCACCACCCAGAGTGCTGCTCCCACCTGCTTCTGTGCAGCGATGCGCTTCTGGTCCCTTTTCCTCCAGGCTGGGTCTTGCAGGTGATGGAAGGTCTTGTATCCAGTCGTGATTCCCGAGGGGCGGAAGAGCTGGAGGAAAGCAGAGCCGGCCTGAGCCACCGGAGCTCCTGTCCTGGGCCCCGGCCCCACCTTGCTCAGCTGGGCATGGGGTCCCCCGGGACGCAGAGCAGACCCCTACCTGGAGGCCGGCCCCCTTGATGCGGCGGTAGAACTCGTCGTCTTCTCGGCCCCAGCCCCAGAAGCGGTTGGACATCCCGTTGCACTGAAACGAGGCCGTGGTGCTGAGGCCGGCGCTGCCCCACAGCCCTTCCCCCACCTGCTCGCCCCGTTCCTACTCCCCACGGCGTGGTGCTGAGCCACCCCCTCCCACCGTGGATCGGGACGGGGAACGCCAGCCTGCCCGCGCCCCTCACCATCTCGTAGTGCTGCTTGGTGAGGAGCAGGATGCCGCCCACGTAGGTCTTGTAGTGGTAGAGCGGGTGCAGCTCCGGGGAGGCCACGTGGAAGGGCCCTGCCTCGGGGAAGCCGTAGTCCAGCTGCTCGTTAAGGGGCAGCAGGTCCACGTCGTGCATGGCGACGTAATCAGTGTCGTTGCCGCTCTCCAGGAAGCCCACGTTGATCAGAGACGCCCGGTTAAACCTGCCCAGAGGCCAGGAGAGGCTCGTCCGGGCTCCGGGAACATCGTCCCCCCGCCCGCCTGAGGCGGCCCCGGGCCTCACGGGCTGCGGCTGCCAGTTCTCAGACCACGATGACGGC